GATAGGGAACCCAAGGTTGAGTAAGGATATTGTTGATGTGTAGTGAGATTGTTAACCATTGTCATAGGGCAACAGTTGTAGTAACTGTTAAATGAGAAACTATTTTGTTCTGTAAGCCTTCATCTTAAGTGAGAATAACAGCACAATTGGAAGAAAAAAAAAAAAGGTTGAGAAGTTAGAGGGTTACTATGTTGTGGGGTTGTTACCCAATGTAATAAAACATGTGTACTACTGTTTCATGAGAAACTATTTGTTCTGTAAGCCTTCACCTGAAGTACAATAAAATATATATATAAAAAAAAAAGCAAACAAAAAATATATGACATATGATAAAAAGTGCGTAGAAATCAAGTTGGATTGAGGAACCTAGAGAAGGTTAGAGAGAAGTCTTCTCTGTGGCAGTGACTAATGTCTCCAGCTGTGTCCTGAACCCCAGCATCTCCCTCCTCAGGAATCTTAACGTTTTGTCTCATTTTTATCTCCTCTTTTATAGCAGTTGTTAAAAAGCACCTCAGTCCCCCTCATGCCTGCATCCTCCCACCTCATATCTACCTACCACCAAGTCTCCCCATGCAGATTCTTAAAGTAGTCAACACTTCTCCCAACCTCCCCTTCATCCTCAGCTCCCTGCAAGCTGGCTTCTGCTCCCACTTCTCCCCAAAGTAGGAGAAAACGTCCACGATTTCTTGAACTAGAAGTCTTGTCGATGCTCTCTAGACCTCTCTGGGGCATTTGACGTGACTCCCATTTCATTCCTTTTTGATGCTTCTTTCTTCTTAGTTGTCATCTTCTGGTTTCTCTCCCACCTTCTTGGCATCTCCACTATCCCCTGGGGTCACCCCGGGCTCTGCACTCTCCCCTTGTCTCACTCTACGTGGAGTCTTTGGGCAAACTGCATTCTCATCACTTCAGCAGTCAACAGTGCAAAGTGAGTCCCAAATGCGTCTCTCCAAGCTAAGAGCATTCTCCTGTGTTCCAGACTCGCTTCCTGCAATGTAGTGGACTTGTCCGTCTCCTATAGGCATCCTTGGCCACAATTTGTGGCTAAGTTTCCTTTTTTTTTTTTCTCTTGTAGTGGCTCTACCATTCACCTAGGTATTAAAGCAGGAATTTCGTGCTGATGCTGGACTCCTCTGCAGCCCCCGCAATGAGATGATCTCCAAGTCCTGTTGCTTCTCCATGCTATGAAATCCCTTAAACCTCCTCTCCAGTCACACAGGCCGTGCCTTGCGTTAGAGTCCAGAAATGGTAAACTGGTAGTCAGCGTGCCACTTCCGGCTGGCAGATGTGTGTTGTTAGCCTGAACAAAGCTTACAAAATTGAGTTAATATTTAGAAATCTGGAGATGTCACCTGGATTTATAGCTTCTCTTAAAAATCAAAAGAGCTGGAGTATGAGGCCTTTCTTCCCATGTGGCAACACTGGGCTGGCGCTGGGATTCCAGTGTCCTACACAGGAGGTTGCTGGCCTTCTGGTTGCTCATGAGACCTGTGGTCTTCATTCCAGTACCTGCCTGCCTTCTGTGGGCTTCTTAGCTAGCAACCCCAGGCTGAGATGACCATCAGCAGCCTGGTGAATCCCTGGCAGGGTATTGCTCAGGATCTGCCTGGTTTTCCTGTGCCTACTTTTGCACTCCTTCCAACAATCTTCCACGTTATTGCTGGGGTGTCTTCCCTCTCCCCACCCCAATCCAGATCTTCCATGTCCCTCCTGGTAAAAATGTAATGCCTCTCTCGCCTATAGAATAAGCCTGACCGCTGAAGGAGGGACTGTGCTGAGTCACATATTTGGAATCTATCGGGTTGACAGGAGCTCTCCATTGTCTGCATGTGGTGTTGTCTACATGCGATCTTTCACCTGAGTTTCCCCAAATGCATTTGAACTGATGTTGTTAGTTACCATGGAGTTGGCTTCAACTCATGGCGACCTTATGTATAACAGAACAAAACATTGCCAACTCATGTGCCATCTTCATGATCATTGTATGTTTGAGTCCAAGACTGATTTGTTTGTTCCTCTGGCAGTCTGTGGTATATTCAACTCCTGCAAATAGGCTGGTTAATGCAGAATTCTGATATTATCTCCTCTCTGTTGACACTACAGTCTCTGCTATTTATAAACCGTTTCCATAGTCCTCACCACACTCCCTCTTCCTCACCACCACTCTGTCCCAAACAGCAATGGGGAGGCTGAGA